GGGGGGGGGGGGGGGGGTGCACAAACGGACCAGCGAGAGAGGGAAGGGGGGGCGCACAGACAGGCACAGACAGACGGAGAGGGAGGGCTGGGACAAGCTCACACGTACCGCACCAGACTCACATGTTGTTCATGCGGGAACAACCACCAAGCGCGCTTCCAAGAGCACGCCACACACGTAGACCGGCAAAAAAAGCTAACCTCTGGACAAATGAGCCGCCAATCGCCAGGTGAACCTCGGCTTGCGCCTTGCGTGCAACTCTAAGCTACCCCTGGAGGGCCGACTATTGCCGTCGGCGTAGGCCTCTTCTTGGCGGGACAAGTGGTCAAGCTGCGCCATAGCCTCCCCCCCCCCCCNCCCCCCCCCCCCACAACGAAAGCGAAACGGAGTCAATTCAGCGTTCATACCCTGCCGCTCCTTTACGGTCGATCTTTGCGAGCGGCGCTTTCCTAAGGCTGCGATCACAAGAGGACCCTCCCCCAAACAAAAACTTCCGCATGCTACGGCAGTACGATGCGAATAAGCGGCCTACGCTCTGTGTGACACGTGCGAGTGTCAAGAGATACCCGCCGCGTGACAGCGGTCTACAACAAGATCGTACCTCCGGAGACACGTCTACCCCCGTAACGTCCCTCTCCTTCACGCCGGCTTCCTTTAGGAAAGAGACCAGGGCCCCAGTCCCGCACCCAGCGTCCACCACCCGCGGGGCCCCATCCGCGCTAGGGCGGCACGCCTCCGCAATGCGCCGCAACGACGGAAATTGCTGAGACACGAATCATTTTTCGGACCAAGGAAGAGGCGAACATAGCTGAAACGCGTCTGTTTGGTGGCGTAGAATCGTTAAGACTGTTAAGGAAAGCCAAGGGAAGTGCTGGAGCGCGAAGACCGTTAGAAAGTGCATGCACCAGCGAGAGCGTTGCAGCAAACCAGGAGGAAAAACTCAGGTCGTACGTATGTCCATGTGATGGTTTCCCCCGAGAAAAATCGCCCCCTCCAGGCACACCCTCTCACCATTCCTCTGCATTGATAGCCAACAGGTGAAGCATCGGCGCACCGAAGGTTTCGTCTCAACCTCCCTCTCTTGAAGACCGGCCGACTGGGCTACAGCGGTAGCCACGTTCAACCGCCCCCTTCTGGACAAGATGTCGGCGTTCTGCCGTACTCTCACACCACAGAAAACTCACGGCAGAAGGAGCCATTGGGAAAACACCTCGAAACGGTGTGCACCCTACTACGTACCGGAGACGAAAAACAGCGGTGTATTCCGGAGTGAAAACAGCGCGCGCGCCCGCAAAGAATTTCACCTCTTTCGGGGTCGCCTGCGGCGAAGAAAAGAACGCCACCTTTGAGTCGAAAACTGCCGCCTGTCGTCGGTTGTGCGCTTCTCTGGGCAGAACCAGCACAGAACCGACAGGCCGTTAGTGATCGGAACCCAACCATCAAGGGGTTGGACATAGGAAGCAATGGCGGGCAAGGGAACGCGGGTGGCGGGGTGAACGGAGAGGATCAGCCACACGCTACGGCGAGACACCTCGGAAAAATCTTCCCCCGCATGATGGTTCCCTACGTGTGGTCACCGCCATTCGCATCGTAGTGGCGCACATATGCTGTCTGCCCATAGTTCCACTACACTGACCGGCGACGGGTAGGGTCGACGAGCTGCTGTCGCGCGTCGGTGTAGTAGCGCTCAGGTCTATCAAATGTTACTCCGCGCGAGGAGCACATGACGGGCTCACGGCTGCATTGTCAAATGCGAGCTATGCGTGCGCCGATCCATGACGTCAATCTCCTGGTGCACAGCAGCACTTCGGGTCGTTAGGGCTTTGAACCTAACGAGACAAGCCGGGGGCTTGCATACCGCCAGGGCGGTGGAACCTAGATAGATATCAACAGCAGTCACCCCCCCCCGTCCCCCCCCGACACAGCCTGGAAAACAAACACGCATAGGAGCGCCCCCGGCCGCTTGTGTTTTACTTGGCGCTGTGACAACCCGTTTCTGAAACCTAGCATCACGCCATCACATCTCGCTCAAGCGTCTCATGAGCTACTAGCTGGGATCGTGGCAGGAAACAGCACCCTGCGCGTGTCGTGGCTGCTCCTTCTTTCGGACGGACCCAAGTCCGTGCGGATGCCGAGGCTCATCATCCTCTGACGTTGTTTATATTCGGTCTACTTACTACTCAAACTGCTCACCGGCTTGCGTTCTTCCGCACCTCGTCCTTCCCTTCCGACGTCATGGTCGAATGCATGTCTTGGGCCCGCTGTCGAGAAGGACAAAGAGGAGGAGGAAAAAACGAAGCAACAACGAGGAGTGGGGATGGACAAAGCACCGTGTGCGTGCGCGCGGTGACGAGGTGCAGATGTGAGTTGCAGGTTTGAGATGAGAGACTGCTGTCCGAGGACGAGCGCTTGACAGCGTCATGTACTTCCATTTGGAAGATTTCTGTGTTGTTGTACAGTAAATGCCTATTTTTTTTCTTGTTGTCTCCATTTCAAATCAGCGCTCACAGCACTTGTGCCGTTTACTCCAACGCGTGGTCGCACAGGAGGGTTCCTCTTCCTCAGGCCCCCTACCCATCCCTCCTGCGATGCTTTGTCTGCGAGAAGAGTGCCGAACTCCCTTCCCTCTGTGTACACGCGAACTATTTAGCGCTTTCTACCCAGGTCAGGAACGGAAGCGAGAGAAAAACTCACTTTGCAAGCCCGAATACGCTGGGATTCGAACCCCCTGACCCTGGCCATTATTGTGGAAGGTTTTCGAGGATACCAACCACGGTATTTTAAGGGGGTACAGAAAAGGGGTTGTGACGCTGGCTCTTTTCCCATACATCAATCCGATGCAAAGAAAGAAAACAACCTTCCCGCCAGGGTTAGGTGTCGCGTTTTATTGTCGTCAGTAGAGGACAGCATGAAGAGGCGTCGTGCGTGCTGGTACGTTCAGGTTTGCTGCTGGAGCTGAAATATCGAAGGTCGCAGCAGTCTCTGAAAACTGTCCGAAATCTGAGGCGGAACCAAGCGGCATCCAACAGCCGTGCTCACCGCCACGGACAGTAAACCCCTGAACCACGGGTCGTCAGCAGTAGCTAGTAGCATCAGCTACTGCTGTAAACCCGCAGTTCAGGAGATTGGGGTCAGTGGCGGCGAGCACGGCTGTGACAAATGTTGGATGCCGCTTGGTTCCGGCGCAGATTTCGGACTGTTTTCAGAGGCCGCTGCGACCTTCGATATTTCAGCTCCAGTAGCAAACCTGGGCGTGCCAGCACGCACGACGCCTCTTCATGCTGTCCTCTCTCGATGAAAATGGAATGCGACACTCAACACTCAAAATTGACCTTGTTTGGGCGCCTTCCGTTTTGGCTCTTTTGACGAATTAAAAAAAGTGTGATTTCTTTATCTTGATTACAAAGGGGGCGTGTGGAGGTAGACGTGTGAAATGATTTTTTTCAGCAGTCTCTACTGCCGCCCTGTGCGAGCACCAACGACTTTTCGCGGTCCCTTCCTGCTGGTCTGGTGTGTCTGTTGTGCAATTTTCTGGCGCTCTTGCGTTTGATTTCAAAATTAGTCAACATCAAGATCCGTCTTCTGCACCCCCTTCAGACTGTTGCCGTTGATGCGAGGACCCACTGCTGTTGTCAATTTGAGGACCTCACCAAAGGTCTCTCTCGCCATGCAACCCTTAAGCAGCCACTCTGATTGGGCTACGGTTGGTACAGCAGTAGAGAGGGCAACAACCTCATTGCAGCCTCCGAAGAGAAATGAGGAGAACGAGGATGGCGGATAGTGGAGAGAACATTCGAAAAGGATGCGGTAAATACTTGCTGAAAGCGGAGAGAACATTCCCCACGTTGTGATCAGTGATGAGGGAAGCCTGCCGCGAGCACGATCTTGGGGTCAACTGTAGTACGGGCCCGCAATTCAGAGAAAACCGTTCCTTTTTTTATTTCATCAATATGACCCAACGAATCCATCTCTATCGAAGAAAAGAGTGCAAGATATAGATAAGAAATGAATCCATAGCATCAGCGAAAATTCTATTGATCCACGATTTCCCGAGCAGCACACAGTGATATCTCCCCCATGGGTAACAGGGTCAACAAGACAGGTTGGTAGCCATCTTGTGTATCTAACTGTATGTTATGCTGGGAAGGTGTAGAGGGAAGAGGTTGGGTAGTTGGTTCGTCGGGTGTGTGCTTATCTGCACCCTTACGGAGTGGTGTGTATTCTACACACCCAAGCATGTCAGGTTTTCGTGTGTAGCAAAGTATCGTTGTTTCAACGTGTAGGGGGGGCACGGGAGAACAGTTTTTGCTTCCCCGTGTTGTCACGCCCATGTTGTCACGCCCATGTTGTGGCGTGGTTGTGCAGCAGTTTAGCTTATTCATCATATCCATAGGTAGCTTGGTATGGGTAGATTGTGGGTGTATGTAGGCCATCAAGGACGTGTGCGTGCAACGGCAGGTATCCCATGTTTGTTGTTCGTTCTTAAGAGAAAGAGCAGCGGCCAAAATCGGGTACACCAAGTCCAAACACGGCCATAATCGGGTACCCCTACAAGATGCTGCTGGAGGCGACCGCATGACACCGTCTGCTTGGCCGACGCCCTCCCCTACCCGCCCTCGACCATCTTTCCACCGGGTGCACCCGATCTTGGCTACTCACCCCCCGGAGGAGTACCCGGTCTTTCTTCTTCCTACCCGAAAATGGGTGGGCTGTTCGGCGAAGACCCACATGCACACAATCACGGGTAGGACGCACACCGCTGGCCGCTCGTTTGTCACCAATGAGAGAGCAGCAGAAGCAGCGAATATGTCTGGATGTAGATGCGTCCCGTGTGTGTCGCATCTCGTGAGTGAGGCCCTCATCCACAGCTCTTCTCGATCACTTGTACCGACCGCCTGCCTGATGCTGTTTCCCCCAAGCGAGAGTTCCACCGCCGGCGGTGGGTCCGCCCCCGCCCGCCGCCAGAACGTCCGAATTCGAGGGCAAGGCAATGCTCACGTGTACTTGTGTGCATGGGTTTCGCCGAACAGCCCAGACATTTTCGGGTAGGGGAAAGAAAAACCGGGTACCCCTCCAGGGGGCGAGTAGCCAAGATCGGGTGCACCCGGTGGAAAGATGGTCAAGGTCGGGTAGGGGTGGGCGTTAACCAATCAGATGGTGTCATGCGGTCGTTTCCAGCAGCGTCTTGTAGGAGTGCCCGATTATGGCCATGTTTGGACCGGGTGTACCCGATTTTGGGCACTGTTCAAAGAGAACATAAGGCGCAAGCTTCAACTTTTTGGGAAAAAAATGAACAGAGGACCAAGAAACACAGCTCATTCTCGGCCGCAACATAAGAAACATCCCAATAAGAAACATGATCGTGCGATACCCCCAGTACGTAAGAAACAAGGGTTGTTCTGGTTAGCATGACCAATACGAAACGTCCCACTGCTGCGCCTTCCGTGCACCTTCCCCACCTGCACCTAGCTGAAGTTTTTCGTAGGCGGGGAGAGAGTGATTATTGTCGCGCCCCCCTCGCCTCTCTCCGCGCTAGCGCGCTGGTTACTCCGCGCCTCCGCGGGCTGCTCACCCACTGCTGCTGTACTGCAATGTTCGCCACACCGAACTCTCTGGGTAGTGCTGCATGAAATGATTGGTGTGCAGTACCAAGTTCTGGGTATCTAGGTGTAGCCTCGTCGATGCTTTGCTCCGACGAAAGTCGGCCGGAGTGGGATGTGGAATTTCAAGCACATCGCTGCGTGCTGTCTGCAAAGTGTGCGTTAGCAAACCTGTCGGACATCTTCACCCGTGTCTTCGCCATCAGCACCAGCAGAGGCATTCAGCGCTGTTGCTCTCCCCACCCTGCAATGTGCTGCTGGTGCCTCTTCCCCCGATCGTGCCATTGCCGTTGTTGCAGATGATGATGATGCGGTGTGTTTCCTGCAATATGTGCGTGCCACGGAAGCAATGAAAACAGCTGAAGCTTGCCTGAATGGCGAAACGAGAGCTTGACCATGCCGAATCACTAGCACTAGTATCAGCGGAGCCAGCGAGCACCCTGTCCAGCTGAACAAGGCCCGCATCGTACCAACGATATCTTGCTGGACGCCGTGCACATGTCTCTCTCTCTCTCTCTCGATTTGCCTCGATCTCTGGGGTGACGCAAACAAGATTTATATATGTAGGTTGTGCAGGGGCTCCGCAGAATCTCTAAGTTAGTCGGCGGCGGCTCTCTCAATTTCACAGCTCCAATTTCAGACTGATCGATCGAATCGAGGGACAGCGAACGGCACCACCAGCGCAGAACCTATCGTCGATGGCCATAGGAGGAGAGGCGTTCGAGGCGCGAAAAATCGGTGTCGTGAGTTCAAACGGCGGTAGCGGCGCCGCTGAGGCGATGGAGGAGGAGCGGTTACCTGTTGTCGGGGCCGACTGCGGCGAAGGCGGTATGACGAACCAAGCCGACGTTGAGCAGACCCTAGCGCGCTTCGCTCAAGCCGCTGCATCGAGACCAACGGTGAGCTGAGCTGCAGGGCTGTTGGAAAATGACTGGGCGCGTTACTGGCAAGTGCGTGCCAGCGGTGTATGCCATATAGGTCAAGATAAATTGGGAACGTATTCAAGACCTTCAGATTCCGGTGATGCAGTATCAAGGATTAACCCGTTCTGTGTTTTTGAACGTGAGCGACTAACCAAAACGACGTATTTATGTGGGAGTATTTTTTCCGTTCAGGACTCCCTGAGAAGAGATGTAACAGACGTGTACCTTGGAGCGCCAAGCGGGGGATGCCAGCAAGATGACGAGAGCGCCTGTAGCGTGAGGCAACAGGTTGTCCGCGCACAACAACGTGCTTGTGCACTCTCATTTATTCTGCCGCCAGCGGTCGGTTCCCCGGACGCAACCCTCCGTCTTTCCTTTAGTGCGTTTTGGATCGATCCGTTTCCTCGCTTCTTCTCCATGCTATTTTGATGCTACGTGGGAGTATTCACATCTGTATTTACCCGTGAGAGGCGCATCACGTCCATACTGTAGTCCTTGCACCTTGTGTCACGCGGGGCAACCTACAACGGAATTACCCTTGCCCCGCACCGCCGGGTACAGTACGTCCGGGCACAGTTGAACTCCGCCTCAATTACAGCAGTACTGCTGATGTGGCACATGGTTGGCATCCGACGTCGCTCGGTCGTTTTTTTTTTTTATTTCTGCTCGCGGACGCGGAAAGTCCAAGCAATTTCTCCGGGATTCCCCGAATCGATGCTGTGATTTTGTGAGCATAGCGTGCATCTAGGTATGAAACGTATGCACACAAGTTATTTTCTCAGTTCGATTCTATCAACTTGAATTCCGCCCTGGGCACACCTTCATGGCGACTTGTGTGCAGTCCAGACTGCAGGCAATTGACGGAGGTTCACGCTTCTCCCCTTTTATTCTATATCCGGGAGACCTGCCGACGGCTATCGACAAGTTGACCATACCCACCACACGGGCGAATAGGAGACGCGCATCGACTGGTGGTGGTTGGTACCCACCCATGCATGTCTCTTGGCAATTTTGCAGTGCATGTCGACGCATCGTGTAATATAGACACTGTGGGCGGAGTTTGATTCGAAACTATCGAGTGGGAGCACGCACGCCTTTCTGTCGCTGACTACTGTGTGGTTTAGCTTTGGTCCGCGTTGCCATGTCAACCTCGGTCGCGTCCTCAAGCGGGGTATGTTTTCCCGAGATGATTTGTAGTTCATTGTATCTCGCACATGCTCATCACACACGATGGCCACCTGTGACGCGTGTTGTCGAAGCAGGCCTGAGATATAAGCCCGCGATATATCCCGATTCTTACGCCTTCCGGGAACGAGAAACAAGATAAATGACAGGCTTGGTTTCATGAACGTACTCAGCAGGAATTCCCCTTTGAGAGGACTTTATTGGGATGCCCCCCTGCTTGGACCGTAGAAGCAGTCGCGGGCGCTAACTGTTCCCTACAGACAAAAAGCACAGGGCACCACAGTAAGTACTACCCTCTATTCTGGTCATTGCCCCTCCTTTTGGCGTGGAGTGAAAAACACAGTACACACGATACCCCTTTTCCACCTGGTCCATTCACCGCCGTCCCGACGCCACTCCGCCGCCGAGGACCACCACCACTCACTGCTCATGCTTTCCCGGTTGTTCGTCCTTGGCGCGCACACCACCAGAATCCCCCGAAAATTCCGCCGGAGCTGGAAGGCGTTCTCAGAGAGATCGCCGCGGTGGGCGTCCCGTATTACGGGTGGGGCGGGCTGAAGGAGCTACTGGCCGTGAGGATGTCGGAGGCGGTGGGGGCGCTACGGAAGGACTCGGGATTCCTTCGAGCGGCCGGGGGCAAGGACTACCCGCAGCGAAGGTGCGTGCGCGGATGTTTTTTTGTTTTTTTTCTTAGGATGATTTTGGCATCGACCCGACAATACCGGGCGTCTGAGCAAATGGGAATGTGTCCTTGTGTGTGAGCTACATGGGAGTCGGGTGTGCTGACTCTGGCTGATCAAATCAAAATACGCATAGGCGCGAGAGAAAAACCGTCACAATAGAGGGCCTCTCTATACATACCGCTGCTGTGCGTGTGCTGTCACCGGATTTCGCCTGCTTCAAGTTTTCGTACGCGTAAGTAATTTTCGTACCGTGCACCCCCCCCCCCCCCCCCCCCCCCCCCCCCCCCCCCCCCCCCCCCCCCCCCCCCCCCCCCCCCCCCCCCCCC